TTTAATTGCCTATCGCAGGTACTAAGCTTGCTATAATTGGAATCTCCTGAATATAACTTGAGCAACTGTTTGAAAGTTACATTAGCATTTGAAAATGTGCATCTTCTACTGTAGTGCAAGCCAATCCTTTATTTATTGTGGAGAATCACTTCAATATTTTAATTTGCCCACTTGATACATTTTGTTTGTTTGTTTTTTAATAATGTTCCCAGTTGGTTGCACTGTCTCGAATGCTACCATGTCATTGCCCTGGTTAGAACAATTTTAAAATATTGATTTCTTTTTATTATATATTAATCTCATTTTACAAGCCTTACATGAAGTTGTTTTTCCTAGAGAGGTTCAATCTCATTTATTGCAAACATTACAACTTGTTTCTATATAATTAAATGCACCCCTAACGCATCTAAGTTGGCATTTCTACTAGATAGGGACACTATATAGCTATAAAAGTTTAAGTGATTATATCAATTTAAATATATTGTTTGTTTGTATTACTTAAGAAAATGGTAGAAATGGTTAATGATGCTTACTTTTTTTTCTTTGGGGGGAGCAGGTTTGCAACTTGAGCCAAGATGCTTTCATATGGAAATTAGAATTTTAAAATAACAAGGAAGTTTTTTTTTATTGTATTAAAACTATATAAATATGCCCAATAATAGCTTTTTAATTATTTTGCTAAATCTAACTTCTTAAACAAAGGACGCATTATTTGTTACTATTGAAATGTCTGGTCCCTATTTGAAAAGTTCAGTGACAACCTACTACAGTCCCCTCCAATGTTGATAAAACCTAGGGTAGGTTGATAAAAGTGTGAAAACCAACTCCTCTGAGGAATTGGAGAACTGAAGCAGTCAGGCTGGGAGAAGAGCAGGTATTGGCTGCACTTCCACTCTACAGTATGCAGGAGCTGGCTTGGCAGGTTAGTTGGGATAGTAAACTTCATCCTTCCCTCTCATCTGTTGGAGGAAATGAGCTTCAGCTGTTTTCAAGTATCTTGGGCTTTAAGAAATTAGTGTCTGACCTGTCAGAAGCATTCAAGGGACTTTTCACCATCATACCAAAACTCCCAGAGCCCTGTGTTTGGGTTCTTTCTTACATGTAGTTTTTTTTACACAGTAGCAGAAAAGAAACTTCATAAAACCTAAGGAAACAGTCAAACTTCCCGCCGCTCCTAGGTTGTCCAAGAATGGGTGGTCATACCTAAAACAAATCTGGTCACTTGGTGAAGCTGACCATCTTTCAGTTGTCCCTTTTTTTTATTCTAATACTTGTCAAGTAGCACACTTAGAAAAAGTTGATAACCAGTCATCATGTGAGAGGTTCAACTTTAGGGTTTATCAAGTGGTGCTTTCACAGGAGCTTCAGGGAGTATTGTATATTCAGAGGTTTGAGTTAAACACGATTGACACATTGTCTTATGCAAGTAGGTAATCATGATCTAAAATGTCAGTGTGTTCCTGTCAGAAGGTCATTGTATTCTCCATAAATTGCTGTAGTGGGTGGCTAATGAACAGATTATCCTTAATTCCTGGGAACAACATTAAATTTTCCTCAAATCATTAGCATATCATGTAAACTTTTATTCATTAAAATAGATATTTAAAGCATATGACTTGTAGACATATGCATAATCCTTTGCATCAAACTAATTTATATTCAGTGACTTGCTTTAATCTAAAACGCATAGTTGGAATTCTTGATTGGCTTGGTTCATCTAAAAGAGAAGTTTGATCTTTCACCTGTTATAGATCTTCTTATTTACTAATCATCTGTTCATTTAAGACCAACTGAAACGTTTTTTAGTTTGTTACATACCCCCAAAGGGGCATCTAGACAAGCGGGGACATGCAGTATGTGGCACTGCAGACCCATCTGCAGTGCCACACACCTCACATGCAGGCATTCCCCAGTACATTACAGTGCAGGAGGGTTTTTTGACCCCAGGAGATCCCATGGTCAAAAAAAACCCACACAGAAAAAAAGCAAGGCAGCTAACGTAGTGGCAGCTAACATGCTGGCCAAAACCAGAGCCCGGCCGGCCACCACAATCCCTGACAACCAGGCTCTCTGCTGCAGGAGTGCTGCAGCTGTACCTCCCTGAGGAACCCAGGTAAGGCTGCTGAGGCAGCGCCCTGCTTTTTACTTGAAGCAATTATGCTGGCCCCAGCCTCCCCTACCCCACCTGAGGTAACCTGCCATGTGGCATGGGCATTCCCTGGAGACAAGTTGCAGTACCACAAGGTCTAAATAAGGTGTGCCGCTGCTATTTGTCCCCAGGGAAACAAATGTTCCCACTCATCTGGATACGCCTGAAGTCCTTATGCTGAATTTCAGTTTGTCAGCCATCTTTCTGTGGATGGCGCACAGATTTAGCAGCTACTAACTTAAATTCCGATCCTAATCCACAGTGATAAGCAATTAATTAAATTGGCAAAACTGTATATCTAGCATGCTGTAACTGGTGAGTGGTGGTGGACAGGTTGTACTTGACCTGGCGGGATGTGAATAGTGGGGTCTCCCAGGGCTCGGTTCTGGGGCCTACGCTGTTCAGCATCTTCATCAGCGACTTGGACGAGGGGGTGGAAAACACATTGTTCAAGTTTGCCCATGACACCAAGATGTGGGGAGAGGTAGGCACGCTTGAAGGAAAAGAGAGGCTGCAATTAGATTTAGACAGACTACAGAAGTGGGCGGATGGTAACAGGATGGGGTTCAATGTAAATGAATGCAGGGTGCTGCATCTGGCGAGAAGGAATCCACAGCATACATACAAACTGGGGAGCTCCCCCCTTGTGAGCACAGAGGCGGAAAGGGGTCTTGGAGTCCTTGATTCCAAGATGAACACGAGCTGCCGATGCCAGACCACAGCCAGCAAAGCCAACCGCACCTTGTTGTGCATGCAGAGATGCATCTCAAACCGGTCCGGAGAGGTGATACTCTCACTCTACGTGACATTTTTCCAGCCTCAATTGGAGTACTGCATCCAGTTCTGGGCACTGCACTTTAAGAAGAATGTGGCCTGCCTTGAGACAGTTCAGAGGAGGGCCATTCGCTTGGTTGGAGGGCAACAGGGCAGGCCCTGTTAGGAGACGCTGAGGGACCTGAGCCTGTTCAGCCTCAGCAAACAGGCTGAGGGGGGATGTGGTGGCTGCCTACAAACTTGTTAGGGGAGATCAGCAGCAAATAAGAAGGGTCCTATTCACCCCAGCAGCACCTGCGGTGACAAGGAACAATGGCCAGAAGCTGCTGGAGAATAGGTTCAGGTTGGAGATTAGGAGGCACTATTTCACTGTGGCTAGGATCTGGAACCAACTTCCTCGGGAAGTGGTCCTCATTCCTACCTTGGGTAAATTCAAAAAGAGGTTGGATAAACACCTGTCTGGAGTCATGTGATCCCAGTGTGTGCTCTGGCCAGTGGCGGGGGGTCAGACTAGATGATTTATGTCCCTTCTGACCCCTAACTACTATGAAACTGGATAGTGTTGTTTCTAGATATAGTGAAATGTTTGGCGTGGAAGTCACTGACAAATGAACGAGATAACATAAGTAGTACCATACAGGGTCAGACCAGTGGTCCATCTAGCCTAGTATCCTTTTTCCAACAGTGGCAGGAATGGATGCTTTAGAGCAGGGGCTGGCAATTATTTTGGGTGGAGGGCCGCTTACTGAGTTTTGGCAAGGCATCAAGGGCTGCATGATAGGGAGCCAGGGGCATATAAATATTCATTTTCTAAATTTTTTTTAGGGGCCCCGCGGGCCAGATAGAATGGCCTGGCAGGCTGCATCTGGCCCCCGGGCTGCATTTTGCCCACCCCTGCTTTAGAGGGAGACAGTTGAACAGGGTATAGCTGGAGTGGTCTGTCACCTGTCATATTCTCCCTGACATCCACCATCATTGGTTAAGAGCAGGGGTATCAAACTTGTCTTGCACCTCAGGCCAGATCTGGCCCACAAGAATCCTCTGGCTTCTTCCAAGCTGGATCCAGCCCTGCTGTACATAGCAGCAGCTCTAGCATTCAGCATAGCCCCTACTGCATGCCCATTGCCAGAGCTGAAGCTGCTGGTGACACCATATGCCCCATGCCACAGCGGTAGCTCTAGCTCTGGCGCTGAGCAGCAGTGGCTCCAGTATAGTGGGGGCAACAAACCAGGCCCATGGCAATGCGCGAAGCAACCAGAGCTGTATCAGCCCTCACTTGACTTCCTGATACCAATTGCCACATCTACCAGAGTCCAAGTACCCTGAATTTTGTGGCAGGCCTTGCCCTCCAATTTCTGGTGGCCTGCCATTAGCCCAGCTGGCTGGATTTAGACCATTAGCCATATGTTTGCCCCTAATTTAGAGAGAAATTCGTAATTCTTAGTTCCCACTAGAAGCAGGAAAGGATAAGATTCTGAAGCAGAAACTACAAGACCAGACAGTGGCAATGTGCCACAGATCTTTTGTCTGGAATTTGCCTAGTCCCTTGCTGAACCTAGCTGTACTTGTCTGCCTCTGCAGCCTCCAGCGGTAATGAGTTCTACAGATTAACCAAGCGCTACATAAAAAATATTTTATGTTAGTTTTAAACCCAGCTTCCTGCTAATTTTAGTGGCTTGTTTCTAGTTTTCTGGGACTTGGTGAATAACAGTTCCCTGTTCAATTTGTTCACAACCTTCATGATTTTATACACATGTTATACCCCCTTCTCTATTTTCCATACTGAAGAGTCCTCTCTCTCCTGATGTGTCCACTGCTCCATACCCTTGATCACCTTATCTAATCCTCTCTGTACTACCTACTTGCTTTTATTGTAGAAATGCACTTTTTCCTGTTTCCCATAGCATTAGTGCTGCTTAACTAGCCCTTTAAATAAAATCTCAGGGAAGTTAGGAACATCTTAGTGATAGATTTGTTAACTGGCTCTTATAGTAATGCTTAAAGATAGATGAACAATTGGGATTTCAATAATTCACTTTTAGTCTTAAAAATTCCTTCAATATTTCTTTTACTGTAGGTAAGCAAGTGAGAACCAAACTGTCACAGGCCTTTAATCACTGGCTGAATGTTCCAGAAGACAAAATACAGGTATTAGTTTTCTTTTTTAAAGTTGTTTAGATTTTTCTGGGGTGGTGTTTTGTTTGTTACTTTTTGGAGTGTTAAATTAAAAAAACAGTTAATTTGGATAGACTGAAAGGTATTTCTGACTCTTGCATTTCAGTATTAAAGGTGCTAACAAGCAAGGTTACTGAAAAACGTTTTTTTAGGACTTGAGATCTTGAATTTGGAATTCACAAAGGAGAAAATCTGTTTGTTCTTGCTCAAAATAGTTTGAAGTAAATAAAAATACATTATGACAAAGTATATTTTTTTTTCAAAATTGCAGTTAAGAAGCTCTTGCTGTCATACTTCTAGTGAATTCATGTAGATCCTCCCTTTTTGTCTGAGAAACTAGCTAAGTGTCTAAATATCACAAGCAGGATGGATTAAAATACCAGTTATTGTTTGATTATTCTTTGTAGAAATAGCAAGCCAGCAGCTGTATGAAGTTCTCAGTGACTACTTGCTCATTTTTCTGTCTGTCTTGCAGCAATATCCTTTAAAGCAGCATTTGCCAAACTTTTGGAGTTTATGTCCCACTGCAGTAAAATCAGCCACTTGTACATTTTAGCCACCAAACTTTACTCAGCACTTTTTAACATGTGTACCTGTATATGATTTACAGAGTCATGGACAGTGGATTTGTTGGATACTGTTTTGCTTTTGGTCACTCCCTCCACCAAAACTTTTTTCTAGCACAACCTAGGGGGCATGCCCTACAATTTGAGGAAACACTGCTTTTAAAGAATAAGGTGTTAGGGTTGAACAATTCTCAACTTGCATTCAGATTTTACAGAGGCTGTCTTGGTCCTGAGAACATCTGTTTTTTGAACATTCAGCTTGTTTAATGGTTGTCCCACAGGCACCCCAGACAGTAAAAGGGTTTCAGTTAAGTTATGCAAGCTGCATTTTTGCTAGATTCTTTCCTGGGCAGCCTTTCCTTCTAGTCTCCGTTACTTGTCTATCTGACTTCACCTTATTTGCTCATTCTGGGCCCCTGTTAACTCTTTCAATCCCTGTCAGCTGCTTCTGTCCACCCTTCATAAGCAGCTATGTAGGGGCGGTGTTTTGAAAAGCATGCATTAACCTCCAAACGATAATTTCATGCACAACATGCAAACTTGTGCATGACTTCATTTTGATAATATCCTAAAATGTTGCCCTAATACCTACATAATATGAATAGCATATATGTATCTCACATTCCTTAGTGAGTACACTTCAGTTTCAAATCTGATTTCTGATTCGGCAGCAATTAAGAAAAACAGAACAATGTGTTTCGGGTATATCATGTTTCCCTGGGCAATTTGTCCCAAATTTTTCAGGGATTTAGTGCCGTGGCGCAACGTGTAGAATTTTCAGGCAATCGCTTCTGGGTTTTGAAGTCAAAGTAGGTTTGAAAATACTGCTTGGAATAAGATGATAGTTTTCCAATTCACTGTGGAGCAACTACTGTACTTCAGTTGAAATCCCACAATAGCAGAAAGCCTTGGAAGATAGGGTTGTCTGCAGCATTCTGGTCTTCCTATTAAGCATCTCTCTAGCTTCTGTAAGATGAGAGGTAGTTAGCCATGTTAGTCTGAAGTTGAGCAGAAGGCAGGTTAGACTTGCACCTCTTATAGATCAGCTGATGATGTGAGCTTGTGGGGAAAAGGTGTGTGCGAACCTGTGTATCATATTCTACTTTGGTTAGTCTATAGTGCACATCTTCCCTTCCTTTTTTCCTGTAGGGTGTCCCATGGTGCTAACTTCTCAATCACTGCAATCTATCATCTTCTGAGATTTTTACCATTACGTGGCTATCACTGTTAAGTCAGAAGCCACGGTAGATATGTACTTACAGGCTAACTAAATTAGAAATGTATAGCATGAACTTTCATCAGCCTAAGCTCACTTCATCAGATGTTGTGCTGTAGCTCATGCTATACACTTCTGACTTCTGCTGGACTTCAGACTAATGTGACTAGCTATTTCTGTTGCTTCTGAGTCACTGATGATAATCAAATTACATGTCCTGCTAAAGTAAGTTGGCTTTGTTTCAGGTTCCTTTACCAGGCAGCTGAATATCTGTCATTTCTCCTGGAAAAAATAAGCATTAAACATTTCAGTTCCTTTCATTTTCTGTACGTGGCTTAAGCATCATGCTTGTTTCGTGATGCCTTCTTCACTTGCATCTCATGTCTCAAAATCATCTTACAGTGACTTTGTCACTACTGCTTGTGTACTAAAATTAATCTGTGAGTGTGCTTTTTCATCTACCCTCTTTACAAACCACTGCCATATCTTTTCTCTAGGAATTTCCCCAGACACTAGGTGTCTGACTCCAGACTTTGAAAAAATTGTCTTTTGTTTCTGAGGTATGAAAATATTATATCTACCAAATCTGTCTGGTTTTCCTGGCTACATGTTCTTGTCAAGATCCAGTTGAAATCTGTTCCACTTTAAATCAAAACCAGACACACAAACCTCTGTGGTGTTGTTCTAGCTTGTGTTACAAACCACTTCCTCTGTACCCGGGGTGTCATAGTTGTCCCATCTGGGCCCTCTATGCTGCAGATCTGGGGTGTGGGCAGCATGTAGCATCCTGCTGGCTTGGCCCTGCACATTGACTGCAAGGGTCAGAACTCAGGACATCCATTCATGCTGGAGCCAGCATGCAGGGTCAGGCCAGCAAGATACTATGTGCAGCTTGCACCCCATGTCAACCCTCTGTGCCACATGCAGAGTAAGCCCCAGAATGGGATAGTGTTCACAGCATGTGGCATGGGGTATGTGGTGCCCTGCTGGAGCAGCCCTGCACCCTGGCTCCAGTGCATGGTCCCAATCCAGACTGGCCTGGAGGCATCACTCAGCCAGTCTGGTGTGGGTGCTACAGGCAGTGCATGTCTGAACCAACTTTCTCTACCCCGCACCAGTGCTGCATGCAGTACCCATGACACTGGGTCTGGCATGTAGGGTCTGTCCAAGACCTGCAGGTCAGCTTCAGCCCATGGGCTGAATGTTTGATACCCCTGCTTTATACCCTGTGGTTCACAAACTCACAAAAGTGCCTCCTCTACCACTCATACTGTCTAAATTAGTTTCTCTGACTGAACCGTATCACTCTGGCATGTACCTTTTTTCCTTTTTCTCTGCTTCTTTACTTTGTTTTGAACTAGTTTGTAGTCTGTTTGAATAGCATTTCATTTCAGTAATCAAGGGAGATGACCTAGATTTTTAAAATATCTCGCTGAATTAAATGGTTATGTCAATCATTAATGACTTCTTGACAATCTTAATCAGGCTTTTTGGTTGAACTGTCTGAAGCTTATATAGCAGATGAGTGAAACTGAAAAGGCAAAAGGAAAATAAGTTGACAGTTAAAATGCAGAACAGTAGAATTGTGCAGGGAGTGCAAGAAGTTCATGACGCCTTACAAGCATGAAATGTTTTTGCTGGACTTCTAATAGCCCATGTGGTAAATAGCACAGTAAGAGACTCTTTGTAATTAAAGATGACCAGTGATGTCATTTCAAGATGTTTACATAATGTCGGGGTTTGAATTATGGGGGAGCTCAGGGGTGCTAAGCCCCCCCTATGGGACTTGAAAATCAAAACAGGGGGAGAGGAGGTGGGAAACGACATGGCTCTGATTTTATTAGGGCATTGTGATAGGCAGCCCAATCTCGCTCCTTTT